GAAGTAGAATGCCCAAACTTCCGAGGAGTGGCTGGTGGGTTTGAACCGCCAGCCTTTTGGTTAGCAGTCAAGTGCCTTAGCCACTATGCTACCAAATCCAAACCATATTGAGATGCCATCTGAGATAACTATAACCAAAAAGACAGATAATAACAAAGGCGGGCAAGAATGTGGGGAAATCTGAACCTCAAACAATGTAAAATGGTGCAGTCATTCTGAAAAATAGCTTAGCAGTTCCCAAATGTTAAACATGGAGTTACCATGTGACCCAGTATTTCTATTCCTAAGTATATACAAGAAAATTTCAAATACATGTCTATACAAAAACTTGAACACAAATGTTCCTAGTCACATTTATAATTGACAAAATGTGGAAAAAAAAAATGTCCATCAACGGATGAATAAACAAAATGTGGTAAAACCATACAATGGAATACTATTCAGTAATAAAAAGTCTGAAGAACTGATACAGGCTACAACATGGATGAACCTTGACAACAGTATGCTCAGTGAAATACGCCAGAAAGAAAACGCCACATATTATATGCTTTCGTTTGTATGAAATGTCTAGAATATGCAAATCCTTATACACCAAAAGAAAAAAAAAAAGATTAATGTCTGCCAAAGGCTAAGGGAGGGGAGAATAGGAAAAGACTGATGAGTGCCAGGTTTCTTTTTTTGGGTAATAGAAACGTTCTGGAATTAGTGGTGATGGTTGCACAACCTGTGAATATACTATAAACCACCAAACTGTATACTTTAAGATGGCAAATTTTATGATACATAAATTATATCGCAATTAAAAAAATTACAATCCTCAAAAAGTTAAACATAGAACTACTGCTTGACCCAGCAGTTCTATTCTTAGGCTTATACCCATGAGACCTGAAAGCAATACAAACAGACATATGTACCCCAGTGGTTAAGGCATTTGGCTGCTAAGCAAAAGGTCAGCTGTTCAAACTCACCAGCCACTCCACAGAAGAAAAGGGAGGCAGTCCGCTTTTAGGGCATAGAATTGGACTCACCCCAAGGACTGGCTCTCAGCCCAACAGTAGAAAGACATACACGCAGAACACCTACTCTAGGGAGATGCACCCACCTACTCTAGGGAGATACCACTTAACAGCAATGGGCCATTGGACACCAGAGAGGCAGCATTCACATAGAGGGAAAGCTGGACAGACAGAAGTGCATAGTTAAGAAGGGCACAGGGAGGGGGTCACAGGGAAGGAAGGGGAGGAGAGTGGGCTAGGGTTGGGGATGGTAATTGAGGCATGAAATCAAATGTACACAAACTGTTGAATGTAAAGCCAATTCTGCTCTGTGAATTTGCACCCAAAGCACAATTAAAAAAAAAAAAAAAAAGATTTATAGCCTTGGAAACCCTAAGTTGTTTATGATCACAAAACTAGGGGACATGTGTAAGAATGGTAATTTATGAGTGTGATTAACTTTGAATAAGTAAAGCATAATTTTACAAAGGGACAGGTATATCAACTTGAGCTTCTGTATTGGAAGTGGTAGCCAGAGAGGCTAAAGTTGATCTGATTCCTGCTCAATTGTTCATCTATAATCTGGACTCAGTGAGTATTTAGAACAGTCAACGGGAGATCCTAGAAATCCCATAAACAGTGCAGAAAATGGAAGCAAGGAACTCTGGGGTACTTATCATATGCACCAATCTCACCTTAATTATGCTCGCAGAAGATTATGCTATGCTCATGAAGTCTTAACATTATGAAAATGTCAATAGTACCTGAAGTGATCTAGAGATATAATGCAAACCCAATCTAGATTCCATCATCTTTCTTTAAAAAGATGGAAAAACTAATCACCAACTTTACACGGAGAGGAAAGAGCCACCAGATAAGCAAAGAACTACTAAAGAAGAAGGACAAAGTAGGAGGCTTCACATTCTCTGAAATCAAAACCTACTATACAGCAGCCTGGTATTGGTACAATGACAGGCACAAAGACCAATGGAAAAGAATTGAGAACCCAGAAGTAAATCCATCCACCTATGGTCATGTGATCTTTGATAAAGGGCCAAAACCCATCAGATGGGGAAGAGATAGTCTCCTTAAAAAACTGCTGCTGGAAAAAGTAGACATCCATTTGCAGAAAAATGAAACAGGATACATCTCTCACCATATACAAAAAACAACTCATGATACTTCAAAGACCTAGATGTAAAACTGAAAAGGATAAAGGTGAACAAGGAAAAAATTGGGGAAACTTAGGGGTCCTAATACATGACATAAATACACTATTAAACATAACTAAAAATGAACAAACAAAAGAAGACAAACGAGGCAAATGGGATCACCTAAAAATTAAACATTTATGCTCATCCAAAGAGTTCAGTAAAAGAGTAAAAAGAGAACTTACAGACTGGGAAACATTTTTTGACAGTGACATACTGGACAAGGGACTAATCTCTAAAATTTATTTTAAAACATCAACAACTCAAGAACAAAAAGATAAACAATCTAATTAAAAAATGGGCAGAAGATATGAATAGATACTTCACCAAATAAAACATTCTGGCAACTAACAAATACATGAAGAAATACTTAATTGTTAGCCATTTAAAAAGAAAAAAAAAAAGCTCCCTGCTATCGAGTCATTTCCAACTTATAGCAAACCTTCCTTGGGTTTCCGAGGCATTATCACTACAGAAGTAGATTGCCCAATCTTCCTTCTGAGGAGTGGCTTGTGAGTTTGAACTGCCAGCCTTCTGGTTAGCAGTCAAATGCCTTGCAAATCAAAACAATGAGATATCACCTTACCCCAGCAATAATTACAAAGTGTAATAAGATAGAAAACAACAACTTCAGTAGATGGTGTGTAGAGGCTGGAGCCCTCATACACTGCTGGTGGAAATGCAAAATGGTATGATTACTATGGAAAACAGTATGGCGATTTCCTTAAAAAGTTGGAAGTAGTAATACCATATGATCTGGCAATCCCACTACTAAGTATATATCCTAGAGAAATAAGAGCCATGACACAACAATATATATCCACACCTATGTTCATCATAGCATTATTCACAAAAGCAAAATGATGGAAACAATGTAAGTGCCATCAATGGATGAATGGATAAACCAACTATGGTACATATACACAATGGATTATTATGCAATGCTAAAGAAGAATGATGAATCTGGGAAACACCTCATAATATGGATGAACCTAGAGGACATTACGCTGAGTGAAATTAGTCCACCACAAAAGGAAAAATATTGTATGAGACCACAACTGTAAAAATGTCAAGAAAAGGTTTATACAGAGAAAGAATCATTCTTCCTTGAAGGCTACCAGGGGTGTGAAGGGAAGGGAGGGTAAATCACTAATTAGAGCGTAGACAAATATAAGCTTGGGTGAAGAGAAAGGCAATATGCAATAAGGGTAATGTCAGCAAAAAATAATCAAGGTAAAGGATGAGTCACAAGAGTTAAGAGCAAAAAAGGCAAATACTATAACATACACAATCCTGCAATTAAAGTAATAACATTAATCTATTAGTAGATATGTAGACATTCAAATTGAGCAGCTGTGTGAAGGTGAATGAGAGTATATCCACAAATATAAAC